GAAGGGGCAATTATTTTAGTTGGCTAATTTTTTAAAGTTGGGCATGTTTGAAAATACTTTTAAAATGACTGAAAGTGCTCTTGGAGATAGTGTTTTTGGATTTCAAAAATACTTAAAGTGCATTTTGGAGAAGCACCACTTATGTGCTTATTGCATAAAGAACTTCAAGTGCTTTTTAAGGATTCACATGCTTTTTACTAAGAATTAGTTCTAAAAGCATCTTCATCAAAAACGTTTTCAATCATTTTAAAAAACACTTGCAAACACACTCAAAGTATAAAAGGTGTCTCTAGTATTTAATCTTCAACGGTGGTATTAGGTGTTGAAGACTTGGACTGCACAACAATTCATTAAAGACCATAATTCATGGAACTCCAAATAGAAAACTAGAATCATGGAACTCCAAATAGAAAAGTAGAATCATATCACTGCATATCTTTAGGATTGTGAGATGAATATAATTGCCTAGTTTTAGGAAAGAGAAATTTTATTTGAACTCATATAACTTCTTTCTACACTCAACTTACTCTCTACACCCATATTACTTTTCATTAAATTCTCAATATCTCTTTAAACCCAACTTACTACCTAATCTACTCTCACAAACCAAATTCAATATATAAATTTATCTTAACACTCATTTAAAAAATAAAGACCCAAAATCAGCATTCTACAACTCATTCTATGCGGTAGATGTCACTCAATCTTTTATGAAAAATAGCATCCGTTCAATGCAAGCCATGGCATGCACTTGAAGTGTTCATTTTTTACCTCACCACAACCGAAAGAGACAAAGGTTATCTTGAACTCTTTGCCTTCCACTCTAAGCATTTCATGAAGTCACGTTCTTGCAATGCTGAGGGGTAATTGCAAGGCATACACCAATTTGCAGAGAAGTAGAGGCACAATTTCTTCCCATTAAATGATGATAAGGGTACATAATAATCTCGTAATCAAAACAAGATTATGTTTTAATTATCATAATCAAGATAAAAAAATTCAACTCTAAAATTGAAGGCATATTTTTTCATGCTATGAACCTACTTGAACCTCATGTTCCTATATTTTAATGAAATCAAAACATTTTCGACATCCAAACAACCGAATTAAATTATGAAAAACAATATTGATTGAAACAAGAGAAAGAAGGGGACCCTTTTGGAGACTACATACATTTGTTTCACCGGATAGAAGGATCTCAACACCTTTAAATTCAAGAACAGTAGCTATAGTGCTGCTATGCACTGCCATCAAAACTACAAGCAAAGTATAGCCTCCACCCTTCACGAATGAAAGGAGAAGAAAGCGTGACATTTGCATAGGTTGCTAGACTTTAAAATTTTAAATCCCATATATATGTTTCTACTAGTGATTATGCTTTAGAAAATGTACTGATTTTGTTCCTAAATCCTAATAAAAATTGAAATCAAACGAAAAAAAAAACTTGCAAAAATCGATTCATACTTTAGTTAGAGGATTCAAAACTTCTAAATCACCATTCATCATTCAAAAAGAGCTTGTTTTTCTCTATGAAAGCGTCTTAGGTTTTAGTTAGAATGAACGTAGGATAGAGATTCCATGATGACAAGGTTTGATTATTAGATGTGGGTTTATTGATAAATTTTAGTTTATTGTTAATTTCATCTTGTAGTTAGTGGTAATTATACAATAGGGTAAAAATGACAATTCACATTCAAGGTTATGGGTTCAAATAAAATCTTCCCTTAGGAAATCAACTTAATATATTTGATCCGCACATTATTTTTCGTAGTCCTTCAAAATCCGTAACACTAATTCGATTTTCTTTTTAACGCGCTTGTGACCATAGACCAAACATCCTTTCACCGCAGCTATGCCTTTATGAATAAATTAAGAGTCAGAACATCGATCAGGCAGTGGGATCACCTGCCACTGTTGGAACGATCTACTACTACCCGGAGAACCTTACTACTACCCGGAGAACCTTATACTCGTTGGTAAAAGGACTGAATCCATAGAGAAATTTGTGGTCGATTTCTGCATCAGGAAGCACTGCAAACTCTCTTGTGCTAGACTGCTAGGGTTAAATACAAGAACATGTTCATCAATTGATAGTTGATGCACAGACCAAACCGTTGATACTCTGTACCACAAATTCGGAGTAAGATATGTACGGAGAGTACGTAAGTTGTGTTGGATGTCCTTGCTGATCTATCCCTGAGGCTGAGAAGAAGAAGAAGAAGAGCCAGTGCTTACTTTTTTGTAAAGTGAAGAGGAGTTTTGTAGTATTTTTCTTGTAGTTGTGGCAATGGAAGTTCGTGTGAGCTGCGACAAAGGAAGGGCTGCGGATAAGGAGGACCAAAACTTGCATACACACCTAAATCGCATTAGCGACTTTGCCGGCAGCCTTGGGAGTATTTTATGGAATATCATGTCCTTCGGGAGCTCTGGCTGATCAACTTTTATGTACATATTGACGATTTTTTCCAGGAAATCCTCAATGAAAAATACACTCTATATGCTCTTTTATATCGAATCGATAATAATAAGTTAATTTGTACCGAATTAATTAAATAATTATGAATAAATGAGTCAGAAAAAGTCTGAAGCAATAGGCTTGGAAACAAATAGAAGAAGATTAACAAAGTGAGAGATGGTCAGTTAAAAAAGAAATTAACTTGGCTCGTTAAGATTAAGGAGAAGTTCCTCCTCAAGACATTTAATGACTCATCATCGAATTTAGTGTTCATGATCGAAGCCGTTCATATCATTAATAACTTCGTAAAGATCATCTATGCAAAAATTAATAAAATATTAGATATGTTGGTCATCGAACCATATAAAAACATATGAATGGATCCGGTAAAATAATTATGAACTGTTACGGTTGATTAACTAAACGATCTTATTTTTAATTGATTTTTGTAGTAATGATAAACACGAAGTTCCGTAAATCTATCACCAAGTATCTCTAGAAGAAACTCCTCAATTTTAAGAAGCTAAGCCTTTTTCTTCTGGAAAAAAATAGAGAAAAAAAATAAAAAAAAGCATAGAAAACGGGATTTATAATCTAAGACACAAATTCGACCAAAAATAATATCAACACACACACACACACAAAAATATCAGGTTATATGTCAAGTTTATCAATTCCTTCTATGAAGTTTTATGGCGATTCGGAAAAACGTTCAACCTCCATGCCAAAAATTTTCTCGACCGCTAGGGCAAGTGAACAAAAGTAGACAGACGATGAGAAGCAAAATTTAAGCCAATTTGGGTTTCTATCCTTTTTCTAGGGTTTGCGGCCCTGGTATCTTGATATTTATATAGAGTGGGGAAGCTTGGATCACAAGTAACAAAATCCTTGCTGCCAAGTAAATAAATATATGGCCGTCGATCACAGATCTAGCAAAAGGTATAAATTGAGATATTTTGAAATTATCGCAGGATACTAGAGAATGTAAATAGTGGGTCATCTAATGTATCTATTAAGCTAGTTGACAAACTGCTCACAATCTACTACTATCATGCAAGATTTACCTTGAGTTGGAGAAAACGCCTTGAGACCTTATAATGTCCCCAATATTAGATCAAGGATGTGATATTCACATACTCTTTTTTACATCTCACACACACCATATTAATTTATGTCATTTGATCTTTTTGAATTCATTCGATCTGACGATCAGAAATTGAGAAAAGTGTATAGAAAGTAAAAAGAAGTGTGTGGATAACACCACCCTTTGATCAAATAGTCTCTCCTACCAACTACACTTGCACCACACCCCAATTAAAATCAAGGATCCTACATTAGTATCCAAAAAGCACTCGTTTATCCATTACAACAAATCCATTTGAGGGAACTTGATGAATAATAGCTGAAGATGAAGTTGGATTGCTTCATATTCTTTCTTAGGGTTTTACCCTCATCAACCATTGGTAACAAGAAAGAGTTAGACTAAATAAAAAGGAAAATTAATAAAAAAAGTTTGAAAACTTTGAGTTTTAACAATAAAGATAAAATAAAGGGTAAAGTGAATAGTATCAGGTTTGTTTTTAGTGTAAAAATGTGGTTTTTCGTTAAAGTGAACAGTATTGCAGATTTTTCATTAAAACTCCCATAGTAAAATGCAGCATTTGGTTTTTTCATAAGATTATATGGAAGACTTGTTGCTAAGTTTTCCTCTTTGCATTTGAATCTTTATAAAATCAGGGATACTATTTAGCATCCAAAAAGGCTTTGCACGATATGAGCGACTGGTCGACCGGTTTGCTATTGACAAATAGCTCACACTCTGCAACTTTCGACAAGATTTATCTCAAGTTGGAGGAATCCTCGAGATCTAATCTCCCCAATGTTAAATTATATACAAAAACTTTAGTTTTACACATTTTTGAGATATGAAAGGTTGAACCAGACCAAACACCTTCTCTCAGCTACTTCATATTAGAAGACGCACAGAGAATGATTCTCTCATTTCCTCATCTCTTCTCCTTGCCTCCTCTCCTCTTACACTTTCTTTTTATATAACTTGGGAAAGAGAATATTTCTCCAATATACACCTGCTTACAGTTGACATGTGGTAAACAAAAATGCGTCCGTTTGGTGCATTTCTGTAACCACTAGAAACATTAGTGGAGCCCATCGTGACAAAAGTACCAGCAATTTAGTGGAGCCCATCGTGACAAAAGTACCAGCAATTTAGTGGACCCCAATAATCTAATTGCAAAGACTAAAGAGGTAAAGTCACCTTTTAGAGCAAAAATTTACTACTTATCTGCTATTTACACGACCACACCTAACCACCAATCACTGCCGTCCAGTTTGCTTGATAGGTCCCCAGTCAAACAACATTATCAACTAGCAGAAAAAGAATCAACTCCTTTCACTAACGTGGCACCCTATCATTGGATTGACATAAAATCATGCAGATAACTTAGCAGCAGATTAGAACCTGCAGAAACATTTTTGTGGATTCTTCTTTGTCCATTTTGTCAAATAGTGACAAAGTAAATCAAACTCACCAAATGTAAAAAAGAAATAGTCTTGAAATTAGGACACCCCCAAAGGTCTTTCCCCTAATTTCCATGCCTGAATTTACTCATCTGTGCTCCTCCAACAAGCTGTTTCCTTCGCCAAGCAGAAGCCATGGAAGACTGCTGAATCATGAGGAAACCCATATCAAATCACAAGGTGAAAGGCTTGAGTTTGTGCTGGTAATTGATCTTTGCTTAGAAAGGTTCTATCTTTAACTTAACCCATCTTACAATCTGCAAAGTTTATGAGTTTTGGATCTGAGTGAAGATTAGGGCTTTTTTGTATAATCTCAATTGTAATGCTGGTTTAATGCTGTGATTGTTCGAGATTTTAGTTTTTGAATTCTGGGTTTTGTTGTTCGGTGCTGGAAGTTCATAGTTGGCATTGAAATTTTTTATCTTTTCGGGTAGGAAGCATGGTTAGGATTTAGGAACTGGGGACTAGGGTTGAAGCGTAGGAGTGAAATTTGGGTTGGTTGGGGTTTTACCACCATGGATGGTTCTGGGGAATCTTCTGAATCTGTGTCTGCTATAACGAATTCGAAATCTATGGGAAATGGGGTTTCGAGTGTAGATGATAGGTGCCCGAAGCAGGTGTCGCCGCTTAGAGGTGGCGGGTCAAGGAACACGAGTCCGGTGGGTTGTGTAAGATCAAGGAATACAAGCCCTTCTAGGCAAAAGGTGGTTAAGACAAAGCCTCGAGGACTAGATGAAGAAACGGCTTCTACATTTGGGAAACCAGTTCATCCTGATGTTCAGATGGAGGATAATATATGGGCAATGTTGCCCGAGGATTTGTTGAATGAGATATTAGCTAGAATTCCGCCGTTCATGATTTTTAGGCTCCGCTGTGTATGTAGACGGTGGAATACAATTCTACAAGATAGAAGCTTTCTTAAGTTTCACTCACAAGTGCCGTCTCATGGGCCTTGTCTTCTCACATTCTGGAAGAACTCTCAGACCCCACAATGCTCAGTCTTCAGCTTGCCATTAAAAACATGGTACAGGATTCCGTTCACATTTTTGCCACAGTGGGCGTTCTGGTTGGTTGGTTCTTCTGCTGGTTTAGTTTGCTTTTCCGGGCTTGATGGCTTAAATTTTAGAGCCTTGGTTTGTAACCCTCTTACACAAACTTGGAGGACATTGCCAAGTATGCATTATAATCAGCAAAGGCAGCTGATAATGGTTGTTGATAGGAAGGACCGGTCGTTTAAAGTTATAGCTACTAGTGATATTTATGGTGACAAATCACTGCCCACTGAAGTATATGATTCGAAGCTCAATACGTGGTCAATTCACCAGATAATGCCTGCAGTTAATCTTTGCTCCTCAAAGATGGCATATTGTGACTCCAGATTATATTTGGAAACCCTTTCTCCACTTGGCCTGATGATGTATCGACTGGACACAGGGTACTGGGAACACATTCCAGCTAAGTTCCCGCGGTCTCTATTGGATGGTTATTTGGTTGCTGGCACCCGGAAGCGTCTGTTTCTAGTTGGAAGGATTGGTCTTTATAGTACTCTTCAGAGTATGAGAATCTGGGAACTGGATCATGCTAAATTTGTATGGGTGGAGATTAGCAGGATGCCTCCAAAGTATTTCCGATCTCTGTTAAGGTTATCAGCTGAGAGGTTCGAGTGCTCTGGACAGGATAACTTGATTTGCTTCACATCTTGGAACCAAGGGAAGGGTCTTCTTTACGACGTTGACAAGAAGGTGTGGTCATGGATAGCAGGCTGTGCTCTGCAGTCTTACAACAGCCAGGTTTGTTTCTATGAGCCGAGATTTGATGCTTCCATATACTAAGCAGAAAATTTTGCTCTCCAGTTTTTGCAATTACAAGTCAGAGAATTTTTAGCGGATATCATCTCCAGTTGGCGTCGTTCTCTTGATCCATTCTTTGCTTCATCAAAAAATTGATGCTCAATGGATTCAAGGTATTCAACTCTGGACTTGTTGGCTAATCTTTTGAGTTGTTGAGTTGAATGGCATCGTGGATTGCAATGTGAGTACATCCCAGAAAACCAGTTTTGTAAATGAGATATTATCGACTGCACTTGGCGATATTACCAAATACAAGGGCCCTGTGATGGCTATTGTCCAGTGATTGAACAAGGCTTTAGTTTTGAGACAAAGGCTGGTCTTGGTAGAGAAAGAACATGGTCGATCGGGTTAAAAACTGTAAGAAGGCAACTTTTCGAATTCTTGTAAACGTTTTGAAACAATTAACAAACCAACCTGTATATTTTGAACTGTTGCCGTGCCTTGATCATTTCAGTTAAATGCCTCATCTCTCTTTTGGTTGGTGTTATAGGTCGTTTTTCTCAAATCCGTTCCATTTCCCAGGCAAAAATGAATTTTGGAGTTGTGACCTGGTAAAATGGACCTCTGGCTTTCAAATGGTTAAAGCCCATTGGGGTTTGGTCCCTCCCCCATCAACATGGGCATCTGCATTTCCGCCTTTGCTTTCAAAAACAAGTAACAAATGGAAAAAGTTCTTGTGTACATGGTATACCAAAGAAAAAAAATCGAGAGTGCAATCTAAAGGGATCTTTGATCTTGTATTAAAATGGAAAAGAAAAGGAATATTTTGTTATTGGGTTCTCAAATGGATCCCTTTACAAGTTCTCATATTGTAAATTGCTCATGTTCCTTGTTGAGAGTATCCCACACTGAATATAGTCTTGCATAAACTTCTACATGCATTGTCAAGTGTTTTTCACTTGAATATTTACATTCTAGCATAGTATTAGAGCACGTTGTATTTACATGTCAGGTCACATGTACTCTCTTGTCACACAATAATTTTTGAATACTTCTCTAAAGTGCTTATGATATTTTGATAGTATCTTATATTAGAGATGAAAGTCTTGCATAAAGTGCTTAAAAGTTTATGTGCCTCTAATTGATTTCAGATTGATAAATTAAAATATAGACAATTCGAATCATATTTAAAAAAATTATAAAATGAACCCTACAAAATGTGTGAACGTAAAAAAATGGGTCCTCCAATATCCTAACCGACATATATAGATATGTGCACACAAACATGCATGTGCTGTGTCCTTTTCGAGACCAATGAATCAGATTCTGGTTTTAGTGTTGATCAATCCCATGCTTTGAAGATAACTGTGGTACGACATGCATATACAACTTCCTAAATCTCAAAAGCTTCACCTGGGCTAGCACAGAAATTAAGACTATTGCATGAGACGAGATGCATGTCTCTCATCCAATTTTGGTATTGTGTCTATAACCATACGTGGCAGCTTGGAACCAGCACAAAGGTTCATTCTGGTTTGTGATCCTCAGCTCATCAATTTTCTGTGGGTAGATTGTTCACTATTCGGATAACTATGTCAAATATCTCCCTAAACAACTCTGGAGACAAAGACAAAATTGGTAACAGGAGCCGACTTTTCCCATGCCAATGTTTTCCATTTCCATTAGCTAGCAGTAGAACTTTTTCCCTGTAAATTTCTGTGGTGAGCAAGATCGATGTTCGTTTTCGTTAAAAGTATGTGATACGATGGATTTTGTAGACAATATTGATGTGTCGATAACATATTAAAATATTTTGTTATTGAAACGTTATATGCCAATATTATCAATATTTTATCAATACGATTGTTTAATTAAAAAATAAAAAGGTTCCTATTTGAGATTTTGATTTTCAAGTAAGCCAATATTTTCCATGAGAAGTATAGTTTGAGAAGGTGTTTGTTAATAAAGCAATATTTGTTGTGTGCTACAGTGATATGCCGGCCAATATGTCTGGAACCAACTTAGAAAGCACACCATATGCACTGTTCTCAAGATGAAAGCACTATCACATAGTTGGAGGTCACGCCCTCGTGTTCTAAAATTCCAACACGCCATAGGAAGTAGGAACCCTAATTTGTTTAAGGGGATGTGTTTTGAGCAATTCTATGCGAAATCACTTATCAATGTTTCTGCAGGCTCTTAATTTGATGCATTACTTTGATGCTCCTCATGCCCTCTTCGGGAACTATGCAGGCTTGCCTACCCACCACCTCCTTTCCTCTTAACTCTTAAGCATATATGCAATTCACAAATTTCCAATTAATTAGTTTTTTTCCAACATACCTAATTTTGCTACATCCAAATACAACAATTGTTGCTTTTTCTTTAAATTTTTACGACTATTATTTTTATTACTACGGTTGTATATGCAGAAATTTTGTTTTTTGCATTCTTATTTATTTTTGTTGTGTGATTCTCTTTCGATTTCTTATTGAATATATAATTTCAAGCAAAGGATTAGGAAGAAATGAGTCAGTTGAGCTAATCATGTTGAATCATTTGATGTGTTGTGAACACAATGAATATTCTCCGCTGTACAAAGACAAAGAAATTTACTTCTGGCAGAAGTCTTAAAAGGTATCCAAAGAGAAGGTAAATCAGCTTTGTTTAAAAATCTCTTGCTTCTAATTGTTGTAATTTATATCGAAAGGTGTATGAGGACCGAATCTCTCTGACTGACATGATCCTTGCAGATACGATATACTGAGCCGATTATAATTATCTAATCATATTTTCACATAGTGTTAGTTGGTTTAGTAATTAAATGAAAAGTAACAGCTCATATCTGATGACCATTCAACTTGGTGATATATAATTAAGCTTGCAAAAGTAAGATTTCCATGAATATTAAACACTAATACCAACATGCTTGCCTTGCAAAATGCCAAATAAAACTAGTACAATTGTAATTAGTTTATACTTAATTTTACACTTACTAGTGCTAATGTCTGATATTTTGACCTTCCTCGAATTATGGTGGTTCTGCACTTAACTTTTTGGATTTACAATTTAGTTTGGATAAGTACTGTCTAGGATTTTCTCGAGCTACCCTGATCATATCAGCATACACTAGAAGGGGTTGTTAGTGACTCATTCTTTAAGCCTACCTTATATTAATTACTTCGTTGCATGCATGGCAATAAAGACATGAACCAAAAAAATTAAAAATCCTATATTACATATTAAATTTCATTTCATATGAACCATCGTACGTTTTATGGCCTGTTAACCACTAAAGATTATGTATAATTAACTTGTGAAACCACATTTAAAGTTTTGAAAACAGGAAAAGTTGTTTAACTTTCACTGTTTTCTCGAATACTTTTCTTGGTTGCACATGAGAGTTTCGAATACTTTATATATTAAACGAAAATTAATAAAAATGACTTGAAAACTTTGAGTTTTAACGATAAAGACAAAATAAAGAATAAAGTGAATAGTACCAGAATTGACTTTTTAGTATAAAAATATAGTTTTTTCGTTAAAGTGAAGAGCACTAGGAACTTTTCGTCAAAGTTCCCTTAAATGAATTAGTTTCGGGTTCTTCCAAGTCCTGCCGGTACTCTAGAGAATTATATTTTATGCAGGTGAAGTACATGTATGAACCCTAGCTTGTACTTGGGTTTGAACTCTCTCTATAAAACCCACATTAGTCTCTCCAAGTTTCCTCTCTTTTTGTTGTCAATCTAAGATCACTACCGTTTTGCTAGAAGGTTAAGGCTAAGAAGAAACTAAACACAATGATGCTACAGCTTACAAGCTTGGTAGTAGGGCTTCTTTTTGTTATGCATGCCCTAGGCCAGTTTAGCACTGCACATGCTCATCAAGGTAGATATATGCTAGATATCTATAGCTTTTTCTCTTCTATATATATTCGGGCTGGGGATTGCTCATGCATAGAACTTTATGGAGTATTTTCTCTTATAGCTCTCCTGTTTAATGTGTAGGTAAAGGAGATATTTCAGTGACTGGGAAACATGCAGTATCGCCTGATCAACAGGTGAAGCATACTTTAAACTTGAACGCTCCTCAGAGAGTTTCTTTCACTCCTCAAATAGCACCACTATACTGAATGGTGTTATTTGAACTATGTTTCAGAAGTGCAAGAAGCTTTCTGGGGAGTATGTGAATAGTGAGCGCTTCTCTTGTTCTATATGATTTAAATTGATATATAAGCTAACCCATATAAGTATGCAGGAACCAAATGTTGATGGAATTTCAATAGCTGGGTCAAGGATGATAGGGCTTGGAGGAAGGAAAATGGTGGCACACAAAGTGTTAAGGAAATTAGAGCCAGCAAGACCAGCTGGGCAGCTGAATGAAGAGGCTAGTACCACTTCCAAGAATTCAGGTGCAAACCGTAGTAGTTCTGATGGAAATTGTGCCTTTGAAGGAAAGGGGGATCTAAATGTAAAATGTAAACTTGGAGATCGTGATAAAAGTAATACCAGTACTACTACTTCTAAGAAGTACTCCAAAGTTTCTCATCATGATTTGTAGCTTTTGGTGCTGATTATCACGGGCCTGCACGCCATCCTCCCAAACACAATTGAGAAAACTTTGATCGATCTTAGATTATCTGCCTTCCCCGGCTTGTGGTGTCAGATGCTCTTGTGAAAACATATGTGGGATAGTTATATCATGTAGTAGCTATATCTAGCTAGCTAGTGTGGTTGTATGTATTAGTATTCAAAGAAGATATATATATTTATTTATATATATATATATGATATATGTTGGAGGGGATCTTCTTTGCTTAATTTGATGCTTCCTTGCAAAATATTTGAGTAATGGATGGAAAACTATGAGATTACCGTATTGTTTTATAATGGTTGTGGAACCAATTTTGAGATGATGGTTTTGAGAAAGGTGGTGTGATTCATGTTATATACTTGTTCTCTAATTGCAGGCAAGGATAATTCTAAAGCTTCAAGCAATTCCCATGGAAAACCTCAAAACAAATTAAACCAACAGGTCTCTCTCTCTCTCTCTCTCTCTCTCTCTCTCTCTCTCTCACACACACACACACAAAAACTTTCAGAATTACTTCAAATTTTGGCTTTATTATTTTTTAACTTTGGAGGTTTCGAACCCTATAACTAGCCTATTGCAACAGCTTAACTTTTGACTTTAATTTGATTCTAACTTGGTTGTATGTTTACACATGAACCAGGATGATATGAAGACGCTGGAGCTAACAACATTGAAAAGTACTTCTGCCGGTAGTTTGGAAATTCCCAGAGATCTTAAACCAAATCACTCCCAAGATTTCAAGACAAAGCAGCCAACAACCAAAGCTCCAAAGACTATAAGTTATGACGAAAAAGATGATCATAAGTTGACTGATGAAGCAAGAAGGCTTCTTAAGGCGACAAGAGAGATAGTAAACCTGATGCATAAAGATTATCAACGAATGGGAAGCCGCAAGCCGCCGATACACAATTTTGAGCCACGGGCTTGAGATTGAGTAGCACTCAATCTTTTTCAAACGTACGGGTTTAGCTAGCTAGGCTCACAATTTTGCCCACCTAGGAATATCTACAGATCAGTCCACTATAGCTAGCCTATATAGAATACGGTGTATTACTGTGTGTTTCTTTAATTTATTTTCTTTGTTTTTATCAAGCATAGGAAACTATAACAAATAGTGCTCTGAAATAAAAGTGTGCATGACTTCATATCGTACAGCTCGCCTCAGCTGCTAATCAGTAGTTAGACTAGTTCTGTGAAGTATGATGTATATCAT